TCGTTTGCACGCGCGATTCGCGTACGGCGCGACGACCGCGGCCGCGACGAATCTGTACGCCGTGTACGTTGTGCACGCGCGCGCGCGACTAATGGGAGACGGACGACGACGTTTTTCACTCGGTACTTGCTCTCGTCCGCCGGCCGATAAACACGGCATAGCGACGGCCAGATCGAAACGTACGGTTCGGCCCGCGCAGATTTCGATTGTTTCAGCTCGGATTCGCGGTGTACGCGACACTCGTTCGTGAACGCGAAGAACCCCCCCCCCCCCCCNCCCCCCCCGATGTAAACATCGTGTTGTCGTTGAGTTCGCGTTACGTCTGATTTTTTTTTTTTTTTTCCGGTCCGTTACACAATAATTTTTTTGTCTATTGTGAAAGTGAAACGTTGTTGTTTTTTCCAAATTCAACCAGTCGCCTTTCGGAACCGTTTGCGTTTTAGTATCGTCTTATAACGGATGTGAATTTTGCGCGAGGCAAAATACGTACCCGTTCCAAGAGGAGGGATATTGAAATCGTCTCGCACCACCTAAACACTCGCGACGTGACGAACGCGTACTACTCGCCGTGGCGTACGGAATCGGTCAAACGTTTATTGGGTAGCTGAAAAAGCAACCAAAACCCCGATTGTTCATGGGCATCAAATGTGTGTCTGCGATTGTAATAGCGACCGCGCGTCTCCGCCTCGGTTTATCTGCTGCGTCGTTACCAAAAAAAAGTCAATTATTATTATTATTATTATTATTGCTGTGATATAGCATGTAGATCATGTTGGTGATTAACCGTGGTTTTAGATTCCGAGTGAGCGAGAAGCGCGTAGCTTTACGAAAACGTTAATTTTCTCTCATTCGTTTTCGATCCGTAAACGCAAACGCATCGCGTAGGTACTGCTGACACGCGTACACGTCGCGTAGACGAGCGTTCGTAAACGCGAGAGTTATTTTTTTATTTTTTTTTTTCTGAATACCGTGAACCGTATAATACCGTGTTATTGTGCAGTTGCTTTTGTACGCCACCGTCGCCGATCCGCTATACGCGTAAATTATATCGGCGGGTAATAACGTCGCTGTTACCCCGAGCGCGCGTCAAGTATATCTGGATATATTATCGGTATAAGTACCTCTATAATTTCTAATATATTTCCCAACGAGTGAGCGCGCGTATTAATTTAACGGTGTCCGAAGGGATGTTTTTTAAAAAGAAAAAAAAAAACGCGTCGGGTCTGGTTTTTAAAAAAACTCATTATACGACTCGCGAGGTGCCTGTTGAAAATGATAAATACCGGCGTCGCTGTTATAGGTAATTTATAAAACGGGTAATATCTGTACGCGGTTTATTTTATGTGAAGGTTTTTTTTTTTTTTTTTTTTTGTCCCCGGGTACGTAATCGGTTTTTTTTTATTATTATTATTATAAAGGGTGGCATAACATGTACACACGCTAAGAGACCGCGCCCCGCACACGACCCCGTCGTATTAAAACGACAATAATATACGGATTTTTCTGGACAGTAAAAAAAAAAAAAAAAAAATCAAATTAAACGACCGAAATTTATTAACCGCGTACCATATTACGGGCGAGTGTTGTTAATTTAACTTCTCACGGCCCGAGTTCGTTTTCGTGTTTTTTTTTTTTTATACATCACGATTATTTAAAACGGTGACAAATAATACGAGAGGGTACGCGCGTACGCTTAATACGTGCGTGATATCGTCGTGTTCGCGCGCGTAAATATTGAAAAACCGGAGCGGCGGCGAAGGGAAATTTATCGTTTCGAGGGCGCGACCGTTCGAATTCCTGTACGGTAAAGGCGGAGGACGTTATCGTCAGTAGGCATCCGCCGGTCCACCGGCGATACTCGTATCGTAGGTATCCGTTAGGTTTTCCGGAAGCGCCGTGCTCGGACGTTCGGTTTTGCTCCGTTTCGCGTGCTAGCCACCGACCGGCCGTCGCTACCAGTGAGCTGCAGACGATAGTTCGATTAAACCAAGTCGCGCGTAAACGGTTCTGTAGACTGTCGGTTTCCGGAATCTTAACGGTTCTGTAAAATTACAGCCATCGAATGGAATACGGATTACGTTTTATGGAAGTGGACACCGGATTTCGTTACATGAAAAATATCCACGCGTAATCAAAATTTTATCTAAAATATAGACACTGTGTTACGGTTGTGACCGTCCGTCTCGTCGACCGTGGTTATTAGGTTTTACGCGATAACAGAATAATAATTAAACGGCGAGGAGTGTTTTGCGTTTAAACAGCGCTACAACGTTTTAAAGAACTGAAATCGGTTCAACGACTATTTCGTTTTTCATTTAACAAAACAGCGGTTTCTAATTTTTTCTGAAACGATAGCCAGTTATCGGTTCTGCGCAGTTTCGCGCGACCCGTTATTACAGTGACATGAATACCTAAATCGCCGGCGAAAACTATTATTCGTTTAAAATTCATTTGGGAGGTCCGTAGGGGCGCGCGAAGCTAAATTTATGGACAAAACGCGGCGCTCTACTTGATATTTTCTCAGCAGCGTGGACAAATTAAACCATTAAATCGTACGCGATGTGTTTTATTCACTTAGGTTTTTCACAACACTTAAGGAGTGTCCTGCGAGAAGACCTGCAACTCTGGTTTTGCAAATGACAACCTACGCTTTGCGTTGAAAATTGTCAATAAGATGATTTTCCTAGAAATTTGTACGCGCAGTAATCGAAACCTGAACGATTTCATTATACTTTCAATACTTGTGGGTAACTGCGCGGTTCGGAAACAGTCGGTATCCGATCCCCGTAAAAGGCCATATTATCCTTAATGAAAAACAACAACAAAAAACAAAAGAATCTCATAGTGTCCACACCACTGTTGTTCGTCCGTCACCGCCGTCTGACGAAACACACGACATTGCAATCTCTCCCGGCCGATCAATTTCCCTTTCGATCAATTTCCGATTTCCCTCGATTCCGTCCGGCGCTCTCCGGGGGGAAACCTGTTCCCCGTCGGGCTTTTTCGGTTTTTCGCGAAAACCGATAATATCCCGCATCGAATATCGCTCCGTAAACGCCGCGTAAAACCGGGGGATTTCGACGCGCGCCGCGTGCGCCGCATACCGCAGTGTAGGTACCGCGCGATACCCGCGGTCACGGACATCGATCGCGCAATGTAATGTCACCGTCGCGGGGCGCAAACCGTACCGCGATAGCGCGCCCGTGACAGTACCGCGTGCTGTTACGGCGTAATGAAATTGATCGCGCGATTATTTTTTATTTTTGAATTTCCGTTGTTTTTTTATTATTATTATTATTATTATTATTATTATTGTTTTAGACGTTGTTACCTCGAAGCGGCGGCGCGACAATCAGTCGAAAAAGTTTGCGATCCACATGGCTGTGTTTGGCGTTTACGTTTCGCTCGATTTCATTACAGGAACCGAATAACCGATTGTTCAATCGGATTCAAATTTACGACAGTGAAATGAGTGTATCCACTTAAATGAATCACCTGGTATAGGTTTTTTTTTTCACCGATATAGACATTGTGGTTTCTTTTTTCTTTTTTACGAACAGTTGAAAAACTTTCCGATATACATATATATATGTGTACAAATAACTAGAAAACGTATTACCCAACCATAATTAATTCAAAACTAAAACAAAACCGTGTAACAACAAATCATGTATACATGTCGTCCTTTTTCCGTACTAAACGGTTTTTTTTCAAAAGATTACCTTTTGTGTTTCCGTTTCTCGATAACCAACGAAGCAGCTTGGCGTTGTGATTTATCGTCGCCACCGGACAAATCGCGGTCAAAGCGGTTAACCGCGAGAGCTTGGTATATAAAAAAAAAAAAAAAAAAACAACAACAATGAAAAAACTGTCTGGTAGAGGAGTTGTGTAAAGAAAAAAAACAACACATAATTTATGGAAGTTAAACCGTTTTGAATAGTTTCACTCGGATTTAAAAAAAAAAAAACACGCGAACAAATTAAAACTAAACAATATTTTGTCAGCGTGTTATATGTCATCACGTAAAAATATTATTACGGGAACCGGGTAAAACAATATTGTCGATTTTTGAGATTTTAGATCGTGAGTGGAACGAGGAATGTATTGGTTTTACGATATGTAGGTATTGGTTGAAAAATATTACGGCCTTTTTTCAATGGATAACTTTTCTACCAGAAATTTAGCTCCGATTAACAATGATGACACTGGGGAGGTAATTTTTTGATTTTCTCAGGATTTTTCCCAATAAATGGGAAAAACGCAAGAAAACCAGGAAAAAACGTAAGAAAAACAGGAAAATAGGTACGATATTAAACGAATACTGTTGAAGAAAATGTTTAATGTATATTTACTTTTATTATAATAATACCATAACGTACCACAAAGCAACACTCTCAACCATATTCCGTTAAGAATCGTTTTTTCGTTAGCAATGGTTTATCGTTGGGTACATTTATATATATATACATTAAATTCTCGTCTATATTCTCCCAATATCGTCTAAATTCCCAACTTCCCATTGACAACGATTGCTGCATCCGCCCCCACTATCCTACGACAGCTTTTTCTTATTAAATTTCATACGGACAAGTTCGGTCAATGATCTTCTGTACGTCAACGTTGAGCTTTGATAAAATCGTTCGATGTGCGGTGTAATTACCGTAATAATTCCCAGCGTTTGAATTTTAGCTTTCGTTGATATCCGTTCAAAAATTTTTGATCAGCCATCGCAAACGAAAATATCTTATACAGTGTGTATATTGAATACATTATTTTTAATCGCGATTTTTTTTTTTTTTTACTAAAGAATTAAAAACATGGTAAATATAGAAAACTCTGCGATTTATTTGCGAAATAACAATTAATGGATTGTATTATAACGTTAAATATATGTTTTTTTCGCAAACAATCGAAAAATAAATAACAAGAAATCGTATTGATCATTATAGGTAATGTGACAAACGTAAACATTTGCATACACAAACACAAAATGCAAAACATCATTTAGGTATGTCGTCGTTTGTCCATACCAGACGGTGTTTTTTCCACTGGTACTTGTGTACACTTGACGGATACTTCCTTTTAGTTGTTTGTTTCTCAACAACCAATTGGCGTTGGGGTAGTGTATCGTTGTTACCGGACACACCGCGATCGGAGTCGTTAACCACAATAGCTAAAAATAAAAAGCGGTGTGTAATTATTTATTTTACAAATTTGCATTATCTAATGCATAAAGATGTATAAAATATATTTGAAAAATGTCGATACCGTTGATGGGTGTATCGTTGTTTTAGAAGGGAAATTGGAAATAAGGACGTAAGGGGTAATTTTATTTTGTATCTGAACGCGACGATAAATCATTGTTACCGATAAACGAATCGGAACGGAATATTATCAGTCGTATTTTTTTTCCATTAAACCCAGAAATCGACAAAAATTCTACGATAAATTGCCGGTTTTGCAATTTTAAAAAAAATAAACTTAAGTGAAAATGTAATTAATGATCTCCTCGATGAACCGACTGCATCTAAAACGTCACTAGCAAGTCGCTATAAAGTTTTGACCGGAGAAAAATGTCTGCGGGTAGAGAAGTTGTATAGAGATTCGAAAAAAAAAAATTCATATAATATTTGAACCAGTACATTACGAGAAAAACCACGCGAAAGATCTGAAACTAAACGATATTGTTGTCCGCGGTTGTATCTTTCGGTACGCGAACGGTTTTTTTTAAATTTAGAAAACCGGTCAAACAATATCGTGAACTTTGATATTTTACTGATTACATTTCATGCGATCGAGTTCGTCCAGTGATCTTTTATACGCTATTTTTGCTTTGCTTAATTTGTTTGATATGCGATGCAATCGCCATATTTCATCCCAGTAACCCTCGCGGCGTTTGTCGTTACAATTTAATTGACGTCCGTCCATCGATCTTTCTTCGGCCGTCGCACCGCGGCAGTGTCGCACACAAATGTAATAATCTCATATAATTAAATGTATACAATATAACGTGTGTATTAAGTAAAATATCGATAAACTCTTACCGGCGCAGGTGTATATTGTAAGAATATCGAAACAGTCAACGAAATCTTACCGGCGGGTGTATACTTTTAAGAATATTGAAACAGTCAACAAACAAAAGAAAATACTAGTGCTCGGTGTGAACTTCTGTAAGGCTGCAACTGTTATAACGGTCGAAATGAACGCACGTCGAGTACGTAAAGCGAGATCGTTTACATTCGGTTCCCGTCGAAACGCGACTATAATTCCGGCCAACACCCAAAATATTAAATAATATATCATTGTCGTTATTTTTGCTTGATTTTAAATTTAAAAAAAAAATAATAATAATAACGAGTTTAATGTTCTGTAAAGAAACCGGAGTGGTGTAGGAAGTGTACGGTATAACGGAACTATGACCAGCGATCTTGTTTAAAGGATACATTGGTTATAAGTCACCTATAATGCGAAGAGGATTAAACAAGAATCCGTGGGGCCCTTGTGGATGGAACGAAAACCGTCCAGGAAGAAGACCCGCGGAGATACGGATTGACGTGGCGAAGACAACGTTTAAACATTGCAAAACACGGAGTGTGGTAGTTCGAGTAATCTACAGGTGATAATGTGTAACTACACGGTGACAAAGACTCTTAGAGACGCTAGGTATGGCAGTTATGATCGGATAGAGCGGTTAAAGTGGTGGAACGGATTCCTGTTTCTTAAATAAAGTTAAACTATCAGTCCCATCTAGTTTAAGTCTTCGAAGTTTAGGGGATTATTGTCACTGAGGCATTTTTGATGAAGAATCAAAAACCTCGAATCAGTTTTGTTGAAATCAAACTCCTTAATACTTATGACCAGACTCTATTGAACATTATTTTTACCGAGCAGGCATAAGCGTGTAGTATTTATATTTAAGGCGGAGGTGCGCTATATTCTTAAACCCTATTAGTAGGCATAGCGTTTTCAATGAACGCGACGTGCGTGCGAGACGAATGTATTTCAACAGTCTCTCGTCTCCGTGATGAATTCCCCCGAAAGTTCGGTTACGTTTGGTTGGCCCGCCGGGAACGCACAGCGACTCTCGGCAAACAGTCGCCGTCTGAGATTGTTCCCACTTTAAACCACACTGATCAGGCGTGCGCCGGCGGTGGAATAGGTAAAATCGTAATTCGCGCCTACGAACTACGACCGTAAACGTTATTTTTCAGATAAACGCAAACGCGATTATCCGAACAGGTACTGTGGTTGCCCGCGGACGGTAAACGTAGAAAAAAAAAAAAAAAGCGTTACACGCGTTTAGGTAACATTATAACACCGTTTAGGCGCGTATCGCCGGGCGTTATCTCTCGCAACTGCCGCGGTTGTCGCACGACGAGCGACGCTTTGTGGCGCCGTTTTACGGCTGATCCGATTCAACCGTCGCGGTAGGCGCGGCGTAAGTGCGCGTGACCTCGCGCACCGTGCGGAAGCTTTTATTTAATGCCTATAACGCGTGTTGTAAACGAGCCGTCGGCGTTCGAACGAATGGAATAGCAACGCACAACCGCGTGCGGTACAGGGCGATCCGTTTGTCGCGAACCGGCGGTTTTTTAGTCGGCGAATCCGATCGCTGTTCCGCCCCCCCGCACCACCACGTCCGACCGTTATGTTACGGAATTATATTACGCTGTTCGTTTGTGTTATCGTCGTTCTCAATCGTTCACCCCTAGACGCTGTCATTTCGCTGTAAATTAGCGCGCGCTTCCCCCTACCCCCCCCCCCGGCCAATCGTTTAATTTCGGACTCGAACATCGGGAACACTCGTTACCGACGTATTTCCGATACGCGCAATCACACTAATAACAACCGTTTTCGCGTTGTAACAGTTTAAACCATGTCACCGGTGCAGGTGGTTGAAACTTGTTTAAAACTATTCAAGCTATTATAAAATGGTAAATCCGAACAGTGCAGAGTGTACGCTCCATTCGCGAATCGGGAATACGGGGTGCGAAATCGATACAGGCGTTCGAACAACAAAGCTCGAACGATCGAACCGCCGAACCGCCGAACGCGCCGAGAGAATCCACCGAGCGTAATAACGTCGCCGGGCCGTAATCTGTGACCGCGATCGCTCTGTATACGCGACATTAGTAGAGTTGCGTAATAATTCACGCGTTATCGAATACGTATCTCGGGCCGTTCGTTGTTATGCCGTATTCGGTCGGAAAACGAACGGACGCGCGTTATTATCGTTATTATTATTATCATCATCGTTATTGTCGTTATTGCCGTAATATTGGGTGCGCGGTTGTCGCGGCGCGGCGCGCCTCTGCGTAACCGTTCGGACACGACCGCGACGCGCGATCAAATAATCGGCCGGCCGGACGCGTGCGGTATGTTACGACATTGCGCGGACGCGCGCGTGCGTTTTATCGCCCGAACAGTGCGCGGACAAAATTTACCCGCCGGCGGACGGGTGGGGAGGGGGATGGGGAGGGGGCGGGAACGGTCGAGCGCACGCTGCGCGACGATGTTGCGCTGTCGAGAGAGACGGCGACCGGCGCGCGCCGCCGTTCCGGACGGGAGACCGCGGGCGCGACCCGGCCGCCGGCTTCGGGGGCTCCGGGGACGCGCCGAAGGCGACGGCGGCGGCCGTGACGATCCCCGCGAAATCCGCCATTGCTCACGACACCGTCGTCAACTACGCCTTTCGGTGCACAGCGCACCGTGCGTCACGCGTGTTTTGTTCCGCTCGTCAGTTAATGCGCGAGACAATAATGCGGACGAGATATTCGGTCGGTACTGTGAACATTGCCGACTGGGTATTTTTTCGTTTTTTTCCGGGGGCGCTAAAGACCCCCGCGGCACTCCGCCAGTCGCGCCTGTTTGAAAACGACGCGCTTTTTTACGGGGGGGTCGGCTTTCCGTGTCCCGAACGCGGACTCCGTCGAACGCCCGCGATAAATTACAATGATATTTTGCGTTCCCGCCGGAAAATAAACGATCTATGGAACAGCGTTAATAGCAGCAGGTTTTTATAACGAAATGTTACGCCGTACAAAAGGGGAGATACTCTCGGTCGTGTTGGGAAGGACAACGCGAGCAAATCCGAAAGTCCGGAGGAAGATTTTCCGGTCCGTCTGCTCTTTCTTCAATTCGTAACCTCACTTCACTAACACGTACTTTTACTTTATCGACTCATTATTAATATTATCGAATCGATTTTAGTTTGTTTTTTTTTTTTTTTGTGCATTTACAGTTTTTTCGCCCAAAAACGAAACTGACGAGTACACTCGCCGTTTTACACGAAGTAGCGTACAGATATTATTATAGGTGCGATGGACCGACAATTTGAATCGTTGTGACTCGTGCGCCTTCAGGCACTCCCGATTGATTTTACAACGATTATCGTCTTCGCCGGCGGACGCGCTGATAATAAGAGCGGTTCCACATTACGCGCAAGTAGCTCGTTCTAATTCGAAATAAAGCAAGTTCTAAACAAATAACGTTTGTAATTCGCTAAATTTTAATTTTTTTTTAAAAAAAATACGCGGTTTTAACGTGTTTTTAAACGGGTACGGGCAATTTTCGCCGTTGCGACACACTGCAGACGTACGCTCGCCGGAACTTGGCCGTTGTGCGCCCAGTTAAAAACGAAAACATTGTTTTACAAGTCGCGTTCGGCACTTTCAAAATGTATACAACCTGAGAAGCCTCGGTTGTACAATAATTGTTAATGTATTACGTAACAATAAATATTATACTTACGCGGTTACGTTCGTTTTCCGCGCGCGTTATATATGTAAACGCGCGTGTCCGCCGCCGCGCTCGTGTATACGATAAACACACGCGTCGAAACGTATTACAATTTTTTATTTTTTTTTTTTTTTAACAATATTGTGCACGTCATTTCACGACCGATTGTATACGGGCACGCGGCATTATCCATACGAGTTTATCGGACTCGGGTATTTATACAGACGCCTTCGCACAGCCCTATACAGATGATACAGTCGTGACGAAACGCCGAAACGTGATTATGTGGGTACCTACCGCACACGCGAGTCCGGGTCCGACTCGACTGTATAATATTAAATTATTGTGTGGCACGAGGTATGAAAAACCGTAAGTACCGAACGCCGAAATTCCGGCGTACCATTTATCAACCGCGTTCGGTCGGGCGCGATCGTTCTTGCGAGCTTTCCGGAAAATCACGTTTCACGACCGCGCGCGCGCGTGTGTGTGTGCGTGTGTGTGCGTGTGTGTGTGCGTGTGCGTGTGCGTGTGCGTGTATACAACCTATACGCGATACGATATTACGGACAAAAAATAGTACGAAATATTTCAAGTCGAAATGTCCACGTACGAAGCATCGAAAAATACGTTTTTGTTTCGTGTTCGTTTGTCGGTCAGGTTTCGCGTCGGGTCTTATAAAGTATCATCACGCAATACCCCGGGTTGTAGCACAATATCGCCATGTCGGATTCGCCACGTTAAAACACACGTTTAAACGTAATATTCTTTTTTTTCGAATATTGGCCCCGTGTCGTAATAAAAAAAATATTGTCCGTCTATCTTGAATATCGACCATTCAGTCGCCTTCAGTTTTAAAAAACCAAAAATTAAAACTGAAAACTATCCGTTTCAAATTTGTTTTTTGTTTTCGAATTCGAATGGAAATATGAACTCGGTTTAATTCAGCGCGTTTCGTTCGTACATTTTCAACATATACAACGTACGAACGAGTTCATTATTTGAACTATCGTTCGTTTCGTGATCTGAATTATACATCAACTAGATGCCCGGCACCCGGCGTTACCCGTGCCAATTTTTTATTCTTTCTACCTAGGTTCCCGTTTCGCTTTGCCCGCGTCGGTGTGTTGAACGGGAAAAATAGGAGAAAATAGACGGTGGACGTTTAGTGTTCTAGTGTGTTAGCGTACATT